GACTTGCTGAGCACCTTGCTATGCCCGAGACCCCACATCTTCATTCACACACAGCGTGTCAGGAGAAGGGTGGGATCTGTGACTGCATGTCAGGCGGGGAGCAATTTGAAAAAGAGAGAAGAAGAAGGGAGGATGGAGAGAGTGTGAAAGGAGAGAGGGTAGCAGCGCCCCAGCTTCTACCTCGGGACCACCCAGGGAACATCAGAGGGCTGCATTCAGCCTTCCGGGGGAGGCTGCTCTGAGCTCACCTGTGGCACTCCCCAGCCAATGATCCCTCCAGCCCAGCCGCTGCCAGACGTGTGGGCTAACGGTGTCAAATGCGAGAGGAGAAATGGCAGCTGAGAGAACACTCCATGTTAGAACACACAGCCGGCGACAAACGTCTATGTAATTGGAATGCCAGAGAAAATAATTTGCATCCACATTTATGACTAGACGGGAATGTGATGCCGGTTTCCCACCCACCCTCCTTTCTCCCAGCATGGATGGACGCTGGGGGGGCTTTGAAAGCAAATGGTGTTTAACTCAGTAACTTGGCCTGGACGATTTGGAAACGGAACCTCCTCTGCCCACCCACTTCCCTGTGGGAGGCACGATGGGGAAGTGGCAGGAGCCTGGCACACCTCTTTACTGCCTAAGTGACCTTGGGCAAGTTCCCCTGGCCTCTGAGCCTCAGTTCCATTATTTGTCCAATGGGACAACATGGTACCCACCTGTGGGGTTGTCTGGCATGTAACTCAGGCTCTAAGACTGTCGGGTATTATCAGTGTTCTCGGGGCACATTGCACTGGGGTCCCAACAGTTTCTGCGAGCGACTTTAAATCTGTGTGAAATGCCCATGATGGGCAGAGGGGAAGTGAGAATAACACTTGCAGTCATTTAGACAGAAAAAGGGCTGAGGTGACACAAGACCTCAGCTCGGAAAGTCTGCCTGGAAAGGGCCTTAGAAATCACTTCTGGCGACAACGCACCTTACAGAAGTGGAGACCGAGGTCCCAATGGGGGTGACTACAGACAGGGCAGGTGGCCACAGAACCAGGACACTGCCCCACAGTAAGCACTCGGGGGCACAGGAGGCCCTGCACATGGGGGCTGGATCCCGCCAGACCAGGAGCTCTCGAGACTCTGCCTCCCACACTCCAGGGCTTGAGAACAGGCCACAGAAAGAGCAGACGCCACTGGGGCCTGTCTGAGGCCTTGGCACCCAGAAGTAAGGGGCCCCTCAGCACATCCTCGGCTCCCATTGACACACACCCCTAACCAAAACCAATGTGCCACCTCAGCTTGTCCCCAGCACTGAAGCTACAGAAGTCTGCACGCAAGATGTTCTTCCAAAGAGGAGTCAACCCACCCTCGGCCCTGCCATCACCAAGAAAAGCCTCCCCTGTCCAGAAAGCAGAAGGGAGAAGAGAGAAGACCCGGGTCTGACAGAGCAGCTCCAGCATCACTGCCTCCTCCCGCTCTGGACCACCCACAGGGTGAGGAGCCACCTCCCGGCCTTGCAGAGCCAGCCTTCCCCGGCTGATACAGAGCCAACGGTCACACACCCCAGGGTCCGTAATCGCTGCTCAGGCCTCCGGTCCCTTAACTCAGTGCATCCTGATGCGTCTTATCTCCCCACTCCCAACCCAAGGCCTGTGAGCACCTTGAGGTTGGGAATGTACTGGTCATTTATCACCAGGACTTAAACTATGCCATCAATGTTAGTCACTGTTGTTGTTATCATTATTACTATTACTCAATGGCTTAAAATCGCTGGAAGGAGGTGCCCTGGACTGTGGGGAAATTGGTCCTCTCCTAGTCCACAGGTCTGGCAAGACCAGCCCAGCCCAGGTGTGGAAGAACAGTTCTGCCACTTCTCCTCTTCCTCCTCGTTTTACCCCTCTTCCTCCCCCTCCTTCTCAGAAGCTCCCAGGAGTTGGTGCTTTAAAAACAGGAGCTGTGGAAACATGGCCTAGAGCCAGGTGCTTAACGTGCATTATCTCTGGCTGCAGCTGGAGTCAGAACTGAGCTCTCCGGAGCCCTTCCACTCCTCCCGCCTGTCCCTCTGCTGGGCGGCCTCTGACGCGAGCCTCTGCATGATCGTGGCTTCCAAACAGGGCTCTGAACCCAAAGTCACGTCCTGTAAGGCCTAGAGATGGAGGACTCACCAGTCCAGGGATGTGGGTCCCCACTCCCGGCAGAGAAGAGACGAGACGGCCAAAAGGATGCACCTGGGGCCCGGGTGTAAGCTGAGTTCACTTTAAATCCTGTTCGTAACACAGGTCTGGACGGACAGGGCAGCTCATCAGAGCTACAGGGGATCTCACAGGACACTGGGCACAGTGTCTCCAGGAAGCGTCCTGAAGGAGGGTCACCCAGCCTCTTGGGGACACATGAACTAAGAGGGAGCCATCCTCGAGTAGAACAGCCCAAATCGCCCTCGATCACACTGGCACTAGTCATCACCATCACAGCTGCTGTTCACCAGGGACTTCCTTTGAGCCAATCACTTACATCGGCACATGTTTTCTAGTTTCTTCCTTTCTTTCCTTTCTCCTTCATTAGAATGTAAGCCTGGCTCACTCCCACCCCCAAACCCTCAGGCTAGGAGGCTGCAGTGGAAGGGTAACAGTCTTGATCTGAGCCCCAAATCCACATGCTTTGTCTACAGGGACCATGCAGAGTCAAGCTTGCCCCACCATGAACACCCATCACACAGCCTGCATGCTCAGCGTAGGATTCCCAGTGTGTAACTCACTGCAGGTGCTCAATAAACACTGAATGAATGAATGAACAAATGAAGGAGTGAATATCCAGGGACACCAGCCCCCTTGGTTCTAGTTAACAAAATGGTGGCCTACGCCAGACACTTATGGCCACTGGGCAGGTCACTGGAGACCAACCCTGTGGATACCTTGGAACTCACCTATCTGCATGGTGACCGAGAGATGCAGGAAGGCACAAGCAGCAGCAGTGGGGTGGTCCTGTGAACCCCCAACCTGCCAAGGCAGTTGCAGAGCCTGGAGAAGGCATTGTGTGTCCCAGCAGCTCCAGGACCCTGTCCTCTTGGCACTGGTAACTGCCCAGGCACAGCGCTTGGGAGATGGCAGCCCTAAGACCACCCACTCGGCGGGAGGGTGATGCAGGATGCAAACTGCTCCAGGCCCTTCTGAGGTGACGCAAGACCTCCACTAGGAGAGTCAGTCTACAAAGGACCTTAAAAATCACTGATGATGTTTCCACCATCCCCATTTATTGACAAGAAACTGAGGCTTGATGAGGTTAAGAAGTAGGTCCAAGATGACAGCTGGTAGGTGGTGAGGCAGGACTTGAGCTCAGGGCTGTCTGATCCTCTTAACCACAACCCGCCACCTCAGTCTCCCAATCCGGACAGTGGGGAGGCTGCAGCCGATGGTCTCCTCGGTGTCTTAGATTCGAGGGATTTCAGGGGAGGCAAAAGCTCATCTCTGCTGGGCACCTTCACCCCACTCTCCCTTCTTTCCTCACCTCCCAGGCATCAAGGCTCCTCCCCAGCCCAAGGCACTGTTCCAACCAAGGAACAGGGAAGGGAGAGGCCTCAGCGCCCCTGCCTCGGTGGGTGAGGGGAGGGCTCGGGGAGCAGGGGGTAGGAGGGGTGCAGATGAGAAAACGGCCCCTGCCCACTCTGCCCGTCCACACCTCCGGACCGCCCGAATGCCAGGGGAAGTTCACCGAGAGTTTACAAACCTCCTTTGTCACAGAGCGCTGCATGGAGCCATCAATCACGCCCTTAATTTACCCGTGTCACTCTCCAGAGGAAAGCCGCCCTGGGAGCAGCCAGTGGTGCTTCCTCTCTCACCCACTTGATGAGGATTTCATCTAATTGGTTCACGGTAAATCACTCCCAGGAATGCAACGTGCAAGTATCGCTGCGGAGACAGTGGCTGGCAGTGAGGACATGCCGTGGCCCTCCCTGGTGTAGGCAGGAGAGTCCATGGAGGGCCTCCCTGGCTTGGGGCCTAGGGGCCTCTGGGAAACCTGGACAACCCACAGAGGGGCCTGCTGGAAATGGTGGCTGGGGGAGGAATGTCAGGGATAAGGGAGAGGGGCAGGCCAGGAAGAAGGAAGGAGGCAGAAGGAAGGAATGGATGGAGGATGCCAGTCACTCAGCTCCCCCACCCTCCCTATCCCTGGATGCCCGGGGGAGCCGGGCGTTTCTAACTGCCTCCACCCTCCTCACAGATGTAGACTGGTCCCACCCTCTGTCTCTCTCCCTCCAGCCTTGTGGGCACAGAGATCCAGAGGGTTGCCATAAGCCTTGCTCTGCACTGCCTGGCACTGACCCCCAACTGGAAATGCTGGAAGCACAGGCTATCTGGGAACATAGCTGTGCCCAACGTCTTTCCTCCTGCACACATTTCTCCAAACACATCAGGCTTTGTACACGCTTCTTTCTGCCTCGGATGCTGTTGCCAGCTTCATCTGCCTGGTGACCTTTTGGTTGTCCTGCTGGTCGCAGCTTAAACACCACTTACACTAAGATGTCCTTCCAAACTCGCAGCATATCTCTCCTGAATGAATGAATGAATGAATATCCCCTGCCTTAATGTACAGCCTCAGGGAACCCACAGGCCAAGTCACATTCCCAAAACATGTGCAAGGGCTCTCCTGGCCTGTCACTCTGCTCAGGAGATCTCATCCTAATATGACATCTCTCAGGGGCCACGTGGGGAATTCAGCACCAGAGCACATAACGCCAGAAAGAGCTTCAGAGACAAACAGCCCTCCTCCTCATTTAAGTGACGAGCAAACCCGGGCCCAGAGGCCCTGGTGACTGTCCCAGATACCCAGCAGTGGGGTCAGCCCCATAATCCCAGGGACGTGAGGGGCTCTGAAGCTCTGGGGCGAGCCCCAGCAAACCTCTGAGAGGCTGATCTCGCTGGCCCCTTCGGAAGCCTGGGTGCGCGCAGGGCACCCCACGTTCCCGCTCACACCTCCCCGTCTTCCCAGAGGCTGCCACCTGAGAGCCCAGCGCATACCTTGCGCTTCTTGGCGCGCCCCTCGGCCTGCAGGGTGCGGGTGCAGCGCTGCACACACTCGGAGAAGCTGAGGTTGCTGTGGTCGGCGCTGTAGTCAAGGTCAGCCAGCCGCGCCAGGGACAGGATGTAGTTACAGGCGATCCTCAGGATGGCCAGTTTGGACAGCTTCTGCCCGTATGAGTAACACGGCACCTGGGGGGTGAGAAGGTGTCAGAAGGGGCTGCAGGGGTCTCTGTGCCTCTGTGGGGCACCTGGCCAGGCAGGCATGGGGCCGCTCATGATGATGTCCACACTGCCTGAGAGGGACTGCTAGTGGAGGTGGCCTGTCTAATCCCTCAACCCGGATTTTATTCTCTGTTCTAAGTTCCTGCTGTTTACACACACATCTCAGCTCAGCACTCACAAACTCCGGGAAGCATTATATTCCCATTTTGCAGGAGAAGAAACTGAGGCTCAGCTCATGCCCGAGTCAGTCTGAATGAAGCAAGCTGAGTTCTCACCATAACAGAGCTCTATCCTCCCTCTCCCTGAGAAGGAGTCTCTCTGAGGGAACAAGAGAGCAAAAAGCTCCAAGGACTGCAGCCGAGTCCTGTGCTATAATGTGGAGACGTCACCACAAGTCCATCTGACAGGGGCTAACCAGTACAGCTGGCTGCTGCTACGATGCGTCATTTACCTGAATGGCCGAAATGTGCTCACCCAGCGGCCAAGGTTCTGGTTCCCTCCTCTTGGAGGCTCTCCAGGATCTACATGCAGCATCCATCCTACCACTGATAGCTGGTACTGATTAACCCTCATCCCACGGAGCGGGACCCCCATGGTGTGTCCACTTGAGTATTTAGTGAGCACCCCCATATGCCAGGCAGTGTTCTAGGCTGTCCTTCTCAGCCCAGGATGATTTTGTCCCTCAGGGGACAGTTGGCAATGTCTGCAGACATTCTTGATTGTCAGTACCGGGGAGCACAGAGGGGAGGTGCTACTGGCCTCTGGTGGATAGAGGTTGGGGGTGCTGCTAAACTTCCTATGATGCACAGGATCCCACAATGCCCCCACCACAAAGAATTCCCCAGCCCAAGATGTCAGTAGTGCTGAGAAACTCTGTTCTAGGCCCTGGGGATAAAGCATGAACAAGACAGTCCCTTCAGATGGGGACCCTCAATGCATCATCCACTTTGAACTCATCTAAACCTCACTTTGTCCAGGAGCATTCTCTGACCCCCCCCACCCCCGCCCTAAACCAGGTGGCTTGGGGGGGGTGCACTTGCCCCTCATAGTGCTCTAAAGCACCCCACCTGTCCTTAACCCCTGATTACTGTGACTCATCTAATGGTCAGTCCCTGTGAGCTGTGGGGGCTCCCCTGTATGCAGAGCCTAGCACAGGTCCTGCCCATAAGAGGCCTTCAGAAAGGCTTGCTGAATGAGGGAAAGAATGAACAAATGGATGATCTTCCTCAGTGTTCACCAGGTGACCCCAGAATGTTTAGAACTGGGTTCAAAAACCTTTCCTCTCTCTGAGGATGAAGATTTAGCTATTGGGCGTGGAGCTTAAGCACACGTGCCTTTTGCTCACCGGGTTCACCTCCTGGCTCCAGCTTTCCCGAGCTATAAGACCAGGGCAAGTAACAGCATCTTTCTGAGCCTCGGTTTCCTCGTCCTATTGCCAACAGGACTGACCTCACAGCGTGACAGGATTAAATGAGACGACATATGCATTGCACAGAGTAAGGCCTGATACAAGTCAGCAAAATTACTACAGTCAGTGCCACAGAAGGTCTCCGCAGAGGGGCTCCAGAGAGAGTGAGAAGCAGGAGATCTGGAGCCAGGACACGGCGCATGCTCATCCCCCACCCCCCGGGGGTCCTGAGACAGCAGCCCACGCCAGAGACAAGGTTCGCCATCACCTTTTAAAATCCTCCAGCAGCCAAGGAGTCGCCCCTCACTAGGCTAGGAAACCCAGGGAGGGGCAGGGAAGTGACAGAGAGAAGGCCAACTCCCATGCATTCTCCCTTCCCACCGCCCACTCCCCGCCTGGCCACAGCTCCAAACACATCTAAGAAAAGCCACAGAACAATGCACTTTGCCTGTTCCTAACCAGAGTCCAGAGAATCCTGCTCTATCAGCCTGAACAAATAAACAAGATCCATGGACAGAATGGTTCCCGGGAGTCCTGGGGCAGGGGAGGGGGTCTCGGGGGCCAGCCTAGCACCTCTGCCTCCTCTGCATCCCGGGGAGGGAGCGCCCGCCTGGTGGAGGCCCTGGACATGGCGCAGCCCTGTGACACAAGCCCAGAGGCCACACTGGGAGGTCCCTGGGCAGTTGGGCTTCGCTGCCAGTAAGGAGCAGGGATCTTGGGAGGGATCTGCATGTGGGGATCCAGGGTCATTTCGGGACTACAGAGCAACAGATGAGGTCAAGGCCAACCCAGGGGCTCCCATGCCAGGTTCTGGGCCAGTTCTGTCCCACATTTATGACTTTGTCCCATCACTTCTGTCAAAGTCCAGATCTAAGAAGAAACCATCTGTTGAGCTCTGGTTGTATATCTGGCTCTGTGGTAGCTACTTACAAGTAGTTTTATCCCATATAAACCCTCCCCAGAATAAAGATTATTATACCATCTGCATGAGGAAACAGAGAGGCGACATGTCAGGCCCCAGATCGCTCAGCTAAGACCTGGTTGGAGTCAGAAGCTTGTCTGTCTGGCGCCCAAGGAGGCACATGGCCACAGGGCTCTCCAGCTCCCACCACCAGAGGTGGCCATATATGGGCCACCAAGGGCACCTTTTGGACCGCTTACCCCTCCTCTTCCCCCTCCCCCAGGTGGGGTGCTCCTCAGCTCCCCTGGCCAATTCCAGATCCTCCTGGTGCCCACACACCAGGATGCAGCCCCTTGGCCCCCAATAGCCAAGCTCGGAGGCACCCCGGCCTGGGCTGCTGCCGCAAAGTGAGAGTCCGGCAGCCGGTTCTGGTTCTGGGAGGTCGAGGCAGGCTGGATAGAGCTGGTCTGAATCCTAGGCACTTACCAGTGGTGGGCAAGTGTCTTCACCTCTCTGAGCCTCAGTTTCCCCATCTGGAGAGTAGGGATAACAACACCTGTGTGCCCTCCACGATTGCTGGGACCAGGCCCCTCTTGCCGTTTACTGTGACCTGCTAAGGCGAGGGAGGGCTGGGTGTTTTGAATACAGTGTCTATGTTCATCTTTAAACAGCCCAAGGAGGTAGAAATCATCACTCCCACTTTACAGAGAAGCATTTGATGCCGGGGAGTATAAGAACTCCCTGAGTCTCTCAGCTGGTGAGAGAGGAACTGGGTTTTGAATTCACACCTTAGCTGGGCTCTTTCCAATTAGCCGGAAGTAACTGCTCGGGGATGTGGATGAGCGTCTATGCCTAAGGTGGGGAGGTGGGCAGCCCACCCTTCTGAGCTGGGGATGGAGTGTTCTGGACTGATGGTCCCATGGGACCCCAGCCTTGTGCATGACCTCTCTGAACATCCACAGTGAGGCCCAGAGCCCAGCCACCCACCGCCTGCAGAGGACCCCACAGCAGTCACGTCACCCTGGTCAGAGGACACAGGCCAGAAGAGGCCGCACGGTCACTTGGCTCCAACTCCCAACAGACTGTCCAACTTCCGGGAAAGGAAAAGGACCTGCCTCATACTCACCCCACAAAGATTTTTAAGCTTCAGAGGAGCAGGTTTTGGGGATTTTCACAAGGCCCCATATGCCCCCAAAACATTCCATCCCACCCACCCCAAGCCAGACCCTCTCCCGGCTCCAGCAAGCAGGAAGCAGCAGGAAAGGCACTGGCCAGGCCCTGAGGACCCAGCTCGCCTCCTGGCCTAACACACGACCTCAGGAAGGTCCACATCCCGCCCATCCTTCAGACCCAGCCCAAGACACCCTCCCGGAAGCCCCCCGAGACTCCTGGACCAAGAGCTCCAACATCACCATGCTCATGGCACACAGCTGCGCACTTGACTCCATTTGAAATCACTCTCGAATCATCTCGTGTCAGTGAGTGCTGGCTTCCTGAGGCAAAGCCACTCCACGCAGAGCTGTTCAAGGTTCCTGCCAGGTTCTATTTAAACAGGTTCTTTAATATCCGAACTTTCTGCACAGCTATGAAGCTGGACCCTGAAAAGCTAGGTCCTAGCAGTTAAGAGCCATGGCCCCAGGGCCAGACTGGCTTGGGTACAAATCCTGGCCACTTGCTTAACCTCTCTGTAAGTGTCCCCACCCGTAAAATGGGAAGGTAGAGCCACAGCAATAGACCCAGGTAAGGCACTTCGCCCAATGCAATGAGGCTCAACAAGCAGGTGCCCTGGTGACCGCACATGATAGGGCAGGACAGAGGCCTCTGTCACCCCTCATCCACCTGGATGGAGTCCCCAGTGCAAGCAGCGCTGTCCCGCATTCCCTGAGGTGTGCATAGGCTGTTGTAGGTCCAATGGGGTCTGAGATTGAGGGAGGTGCTCGGCCGGGGGTGCCATCCACATGCCCCCTTCTGGGCCACCCTGAGTTCACTTGGTGAGGATCCCCCGGGAGAATCCAGGGGCAGCAGAGGAGGGAGCCCGCAGCCCATTTTCTTGGCACCTCCTTCATGAAGAGGCATCGCAGCAGGTCCTGAGGGCTCTTCACTGCCACCTCAGGCCTGCCCAGAAGGCTGCCATTCCTCCATCAATGCTGAGGGGCTCTGCACTTCAAGGCGAGAGAGGGAATCTGCACGCATACCAGACACCCCAAGGGTGAGCACAGCCTGTGAGCCAGAAGGTTCTGCCATGAGGCCAAGGCCCACGGCTCTGGCCCCTCCCCTCCCCCATCCAGCAAAGCCAGGCTTTCCCTTCGACCTCCTCCCACCTGGCATGGGAGCAGCCCTGCACACGGGCCAGGCCCAGCTGTGCACTCATGGTCTCACGTGAAGCGGCAGAGAGGGCCCTATGCAGCTGGGCTGGTGGCATGTGCTGCAGCCTGACCATCTGCCCCGCACACCCACCGCCCTGGCCCCACTGCCGCAGCCCCCCTGCCCCCCGAGACCACAGGGTCTCTCTCCGACCTGCGCCTCCTCAGCCAAGCAGCCCCCACCTCCTTCCCTTCCCGGTTGAGAGGTTAGTGGACCGGACAAAGCAGGAGGCTGTCTGGCTTCCCTGTGCTGAGACTGGACAGCTCCAGGGCATTCAAGGGGCTGAGGAGCAGAGCTGTGAAACGCCCGGGGAATGGAGCGACTCTGACTCTGATTCGAATCCAGGCTCTACAGTGACAGCGGCACATGGCTACGTGGGCCACGACTGCACCATGCCAAGGAGGCACCAGCACACTGAAGTCTAGCGAACAGCATGCCCAGGAGGTGTGCAGCACAAAATCCGCGAGGCCTCACGCCACCAAAAAGGCTGCAAGACCTCAACCAACTTACATAAGCTCTCTGAACCTCAGTCTCACCACCTGTGAAATGGAGGGATGGTGATAACAATACCTATTTCACTAAATGAACTAATACACATAATACACAGGGCCCACCCGGCACAAAGTAAGCATCTGATAAATGGTAGTTTCTATGATTGTTATTAAATGATTAAAGAATTCTTATTTCTATGTCTGTCAAGGCCTTGCCCAGCACTGAAGATACCGCAGATGCTCAAGAGGTGTTCATTCCTCCTATAGCCCTATTCCTTTCTTCATGCGCTCTTTGCAAAGAAGCTGTGTACAGGGTAAGTGTTGTCACCACTTTCCAGCTTTAGCCACTGAGGCCCAGAGAGGGAAAGTGACTAGCCCATGGTCACACAGAAAGCATGCAGCAGAGGCAGGACTCAAACCACGGCCTCCAGACTCGCAGGCCAGTGCTCTTTTCACAGGAAGCTGCACAGGGAAATGAAGCTCCAGACCAGAACCACAATCCCCGAACCAACCTCAGGGCTGCATCAGCCAAGACCTCACTCAGGCAGAACCCCCCTCCTTCTTTCCCTCCTCTCCCAAGGGCCCATTTCAAAGCCTAGATCCGGAGCCACAGCCTGTCTGGACCGGGGCACGCATGTGTCTGTATTTTACGTTTGGGAGACTGAGGCCCAGAGGAGCTAGGAGCTCCTCGGGGACACAGGACTTTCTCCCTCAGATGGCTGCTGTGGTGGTGGGGACATGGTGGGTGTGGCCCCAGCCCCTGGCTCTGTGACCACCAGGGCCCCGGCCATATTCCTTTCTCTCCCAGACAACAGGCAGATGCCCACATCTGCCTAGCAGCCTTTCTGGGGAAGGGACAGAATGGTTCAGGCAAGGAGCACGCACTCTGAGACTGCGCATTTGTGTGTGCTCCTGGGCACGTGTAACGATCCTGTGCGGTGCATGGGTGTACCTGCACGTGTGTGTGCACCTCCCTCCCTGAATCTGTCCTGGTTACATAGAACTTCCCCATGGGAAGAGTAGAATTGAAAGGAGACCAGGATTAACAATCTGAACTCAGAGAGTCAGTGTGTGCACACCCAGCCTCCGACTGTTAACAAACACTGTGAGTGGGGGTGAGGGAGCCCATGACACCGACATGGATGGACGGCACTGTGGGAAGCATTTGGCCAAAACCTGCTGTCATCTTCCCTAACCCACTAGGTGATCTCAGACAAGTCTCCTTCCTTCTCCAGGCCTCAGTTTCCCATTCCATTAAATGGGCTAATTCAACCTGACAGGGATGTTAAGATCAAATAAGATGGAATTTATTATTGAAAGAAGTTAAAGCCACTGGACAAATGAGACGTAGCAGAGCACTCAGAGACCGTGAATATTTTCTCAGAACTGAAAGAGGCAGCCAGAGGGGTAGAAAGGAGTCAAAGGACCCAGGTGCCAGCCTTGCCCTGCTACTCATCAGCTGTGATGCTCTGGGCACATGGTCTCCCTAAGGTGAGCAGGTAGACAGGCATCTCGCTGCCCTTCTGTTATCCTTCCATCCTGGGGGGTGCGTTGCAGGATGCCCTACAGGCTACCAGCCTCCCCAGGCATTCAGACACACAGCCACTACCTGAGGGCGGGACTGACTGCTCCACTGGGCCCACTGCCCAGGGTCCCAACTGGTGTGGCTGCGGGCAGTGGCCCAGCCTGGTCTGTGACAGCTACCTGACCTCTCCACCCCACCTCACTGACCAAACATCTTACCCAAACCCAAGCAAAACACTTTGGCTCAAAAGTCATAGGGCCTCATTTCCCGAGGAGTTCAATTCCCTTCACATGGATGGATCCTGGCACCACTGCCCATCCCACCCACAGGAGAAAAGAGGAGAGTGTGATCCAAAGAGAAGCATTTCTTAAATGCTTTGTTGTTGGCTAAAGCCCAGAGAGGTTGAGTAACTTTCCCGGAGTCACACAGGAAGTCAGCTGCAGAGCAAGAAAAAACCCGACTACTCAAACCAGTCACGTTTACCCCCAACCCTTTTTCCCCATGCCCCGTGTGGGGTGGGGGCAGGGGGCACTTACCACCCTTTTCTTAGACCTTCTTTCTCTCTAGGAAAATGCAAATCCTAGAACCCCAGGGCAGTCCCAATCTTGTCTAAAGTAGAGTTGTAAAACTGCCCCTCCCCACCAGGGATAATTCTTGGGCAAATATTCTTCCCCATCCCCCCAGAGGACTCTGTCTGGTGAGGGCAGTCCCCACCAGCCCCAGACTGAGAAGCCCCTGATCCACCCTAGAACAAGGCTCTAAAGGCCCCCAACTGACCAGTCCCCCAGCAGACCTGCCTGCTTCCCCAAGGGGTGAAGGGCAGCGGTGGAGGGACCTCCCGGGAAGGCGCGCACCAGCCAGTTCCTGAGGCCGCTCCGGAGAGGGGGGCGGGCTTGGAGTCTGGGTCCTTAACGACGCCAAGGCAAGGGGTGTAGAGCCCAAAAGCAACCCGAGTGCACGGACATCCCTAGGGGGACGGGGCTGAAGAGGGGCTGACAGGCTCCCCCGGAATGCGGGACCCTTACATGCTGGCAACACCAAGACGGCCCCTCCGCAGCATTCCAGACCTCCCAAGGCCCCACCACGCCAAATGCCGAAGGGATAGGGTCTTCCCCGCTTCCCCGCCCGAGACAGACTCCCACATTCCCCCTCCGCGCCCGAGGGACTCCAGGAGACAAATACTCATTGCCATAAAAGTGAACTATGAAGGCTGAAGTCAGACGCGCAGACCGGGTCACCCCGGGGGGAGGGGGACGGTGGGAACCAGGGCTGGCCGGGCCAGAAATCTCGAACCTTCACCCCACTTCGCAAACTAAGATCCATAACAACGCTGTGGCAAGGGTCACTGCCCCAGGAGGTCCCACACTGTCTGGGCCCTGGGAGGGGACAATTTGCCTCTCACACTCTCATCTTCCTCACCCACCCTCTCCGGCAGTCGTCCCGGGCGCGGTGAGGGTGTGCGGCCGGGAGCCGGTACCTGCTTCCGGAGCGCCTCGAAGGCTGCGCTGATGGTGTGCACCCGCGTCCGCTCCCTGGCGTTCGCCAGGAGCCTCCGGGTCTGCTGCAGGGCTTTGATCTCCGAGGAGGCGGCGGTCGCTTCACCCGGCCGTTTCCTAGGCGACGCGGAGGAATCCGGGTGGTTATTGTAAATTACGTGTGAAATTGACGAGTAGGAACTTTCCCCGGGGCGCGTGGGGGGCGCGGGGCGCACCGAGGACTCCGGGGGCGCAGGGGGCGCGGCCGGCGTGGGGCGTGCAGGCGGTGCGCACAGCAATATGCGGGGACGCATGCCGGGCTCCCGGAAAGGCTGTGCCTCAGGAGCCCCAGGTACCTGGCCCTGGGGCGCTGGAGGCGGCGGCAGTGGCGGCGGCGTGGGCAGTCCCGGCCCCACTGCGCCCAGGGCGAAGCCGCGTTTCCGCGCGTCCAAGACCTCCGGCGCCCGGGCGCCCCTGCGCTCCCCGGCTGTGTCCGCGCCCCCACCTGAGGGAACGGCCGGCGCCACTGGGGCTGGCACCGGGGCCGGGACGGGCTGCAGCCGTTGGGTCCTGTCGCGCAGCCCGTTGGTGGCGGTGGCGCCGTGCTCGGGCGCTTCCAAGTCCAATCGGAAAGTTTTATAGCCGTTTGCGCGCCGCGCCGGCTCCTTGCCTTTCCGCTTGAGCTTCTTGAGGCCGTTCAGCTCCTTCACGCACACAGTCTTCCACGGCCCGTCCTCGAGAACCGGGATGTGCTTCATGGCTCGGGCAGCGCGCGAGGCAGGGGCGTGGGGTGCCCGGGACGCGCGCCCGCCGCGCTCGCTCTGCAGGCTGCGCGCCGGCTCTGCCCGGCCGCCGCCGCGCTCAGCGCCTCGGAGTCTCCAGCTCTCCCCCTTCTCTGTCTCTCCCGCCCTCCTCCCGCCCTCTCTCCCTGTCTCCCCCTCGCCCGGGGCAGCTGCGCCGCCGGCTCCGCGAAGCCGCCGGGCAGTCCGTTCCCGGAGCGCTCAGAGTGTCATCTGAAGTCGCTGCCGCCCTGCCAGCATTTCTGGAGAACGCCCGCTGCGCTCCATCTGTGTTTGTTTAGCCTCAGTTTACACAGAAGCCGGGTTCGCGAGATCAGTCAGCGCCGCCGCCCGGAGAGGAGGCAGCTCTCGCCGCCGCCGCCTCCCCAGCCCCGGCCGCCCGAGCCGCGAGCGCCTTTAAAGAAACAGGAAGCATTTTTCAAAACAGCTGGGCTGCCGGCCGCCTCCTTTGTCCGCGTCCTCCCTACCTCCCCCCACCCCCATCCCTTCTGCCCAGAACCTGCCTCGTCGGGCTCTCGCTCCCCGCCCCCTACTCTTTTCCCAGAGGACAATCTGCTCCCTATGGAAGTGCCACGAGCACGTGGCTTCTGGGCCTTTCGGCCCTTACCCAAGTCAGAGCTGAGCCTTCTCTACCCGGCCTCGCTGACCTCTCGGCGACGCAGCGTCGACCTTACGCACCCAGCACCTCTCTGTCCACCCCTCCACCCCAAATCGCCGATGGAGAAGAAAACGAGCTGCAACTTTTCCTGGGGCGGGAGGGTGTCCATGGGGGAAATTGCCCCACACCACAGCGCAGCGACCCCATCCACTCTGTCACTTGCTGGAGCGGGGAGCCCAGGAGCGGGAGAAGGCCTAAGCAATAGGGAAACTGAGGCTCTCAGTTTCTATTCTCAAAAGGAATTGGCTTCCCCATAGTCACGTCGAGTGGAAGAGGCCGGGGAGGGTGGCAGCGTCGGATTTAGACAGACCGAGCATCTGTGAGATTCTGAAGTCACTTCACCCCAGGCGGCCCAGTAAGCCCGGATTTTCTCATGAAGGGAATGAGAAATGCAGAGGACACCAATGCCGAAGTCACAGTGTCGCTGTGAGGAACTGAGCACCAGGCACACAGGAGGTGCTAGTCAATGGGAGCTCTGGTTATTATCATTATTAATATCAGAGGCAGAATAGCTCCTAGAGGCAGATTTCCTGACTTCAAACCGCAGCTCTGCCACTTACAAACTGAGTGACCTTAGGCAAGTCACTGAACCTGTCTGTGCCTCCCTTTCCTCATCTGTAAAATGGAGGTGATAATCATACCTTCCTCCCGAGGTGGTTGCAAAGATTAATTGAGCATTTATGTACAGAGCACTCAGAGCAGTGCCTGGCAAGAAATGAGAGCTTTGCAAGTGCCCACTGTTATTGGCAAGGGGCAGACTCCCAGACTCCCTGTCCTCTGTGCCATTCCACTGGAGATTCTGGAAAGAAGAGGTCAGACTGGTGGGCCCTCGCCGAGACCCATCTCCCGGAGGCTGCCGTGAAGGACCAGCGCAGGACTTTACTCCTTGAGGTCTTTTCTCTGTGGCAGTTCCTCCTTAAGGCAGTGATGGGCACTAAAAGCTGTTTGAGAGGAGAAGATGAACCCGTGACGCTGGCCTTGGGTTCTGGCCTCTGCAGCCACTAGGATCTTCATCTTTCTGATTTCAGTCCTCCACTCCCGCCCCCAGACCTACCAGACCCGGTGGGGGTTTTCCTGTGAAAATGCAGGGCTCACACATAGTCCCCGGTGCCCTGTCTCTTCCAAGGGAGAAGGTCGTAGGGGTGTGAGGAGGTAGATGGTGTGGTGGCCTGTGGCATGATGGGTCCTGGGAGGTCGGATGGGGGTCTGGGCAGAAGGTTCAGGGGCAGGAGCATAGAGTTGGGGCCAGGAGCTCGGAATGAGCCTTGGCTGTTCAACCGTGGAGCCCCATGACCATGGGCAAGACATTTCACCCCCCAGGTTCTGTTTTCTCATCTGTCCTCGAGGATAATGTCCAGCCAACCTCTCATGGTAGTGGGGAAAGTAAAAGAGATCGTGGATGTGAGGGGACTTTGACATAAGGCTTCAAACATGCACTCAACATCCGCATTCACACAGGGACACACACATAGGAGGCATGCAGTTTTCTGACCATAGTAAACACAAAACCTCATTTTTTTCCACTGAGATGGCTCCCAGCATCATAATGCATGTGCTCCCTGAGACACGCTCTTCCCTGGACACCCAGCATCTTCCCACTCCTTATTTCTGTTCTGAAGAGCAAGCGTGTGCCCAGAGAGGAGCCCTCCTTCTCCTGCTGTTTCTCCACCCAGCCCAGACCCTATGCACTGGCCTTTGCTCACAGGTCTCCCACATCGCCCCTCCCCCTTTGATGACCAGCTCTAGTCTCCCCTCCTGCTGGAAGCCTTGGCTGATCCCCACAGCCCCCTGTCACTCTTGCGGGCCTCTGCACATGCTCACTCACAAGTATTGCTGGAACTTACCCTCCACTGCAGGCCCATCTGACCCCCTGGGTTTGCAAGCTCCTGAAAGGCCACTGTTTCCTTCCTCTCTGTCTCCGACAGTAGGTGCCTAAACATTTACTTCCTCCCTGTCTCTGACAGTAGGTGCCTAAACATGACAACCAGCCCTCATGCCCTTTACATTCTCCAGATCCCAAGCAGAGGCTAAGACCCCAACTTGCCTACTCCTCATGAATCTAGCCAGCCAGTGGCAGAGATGGGGGAAAGCCAAGCCCCCCTCTCCAGAGCGGCTAAGCTACTCTCTGAACCTCAGTTTTCTCCTCTGTAAAATGGAGGTTATAATAGTATGCCTCATAGAGCTGGCATGAGGATTAAACGAGGCTGCATGTACAGAGTTGAGCCTGGTGCATAAAGTAGAATGAGCGGTGGTGTTGGGCAGCCTGGGTAAGCACAGCTGCCCAGGCTCCTTGCATTCCAACATCTGCCCCCAGACTCGGGGTGCAGTTGCAGGCTGGGGTGTCCATGGCTAGTTGGGGCATGTGGAAGTCTCTGGCAGGATTGAAAATCGTCCTTAAAGAGACTAGCCTGTGCTCCAGGAAAATCACAAGTCTTGGTTGAGTGTCAAGGGCTCTGCTCACGCTGATCCTGAGCCCCTCGCCAACCCCCCCAAAAGAGAGGAGAAGCTCACTGAGATCCCATGGGGTGGGAGCAGGGGAAGGGAGTGGATAGGAATGGTCAGCTGTGCTGGGCAGAGGTAGAGCAGGACTCAGACCCGGCTCCACTCGCCCAGGGCATGCTCCTTCCCCCTCCCTGTGCTGCCTCTCCCGCTGCTCATGTGCCAGAGCCTCTGGGTTGGCATCAGACAAGCCTAGAGGGATCTTTGCTTTGCCACTTACCAGCTGTGTGGACCAGCCCTTTCACGCCTCTGAGCCTTGGTTCTTTATCTGGGCATTATTGGCTTAGTCATAAGATACAATGGCAAGTACAGGAACGTGAGGCAAACAGTAAAGGGCCCAAGTGATGTGAAGGGTCCCTGTTACTGCCATTCTCTGCCGGACAGGTGGCAGACCCTCAAAGCCCAGGCTAGCTGCCCCCTACCCTAAGGGCAAACCTGTATCCCAGGGCTGGCGATTCTGCCTTCCCTCAGCCTCCTTGAGAAGTGGGGGAGAGAGACCAGCCAGGCGGCGCCCCCTGGTGGTATGACACTGCCCAGACTGCGCACAACATAGCGTCTCCCCACAAGAACTTCTTGCTGACTTTGGAGCCAGGAGTGGTGGCCCTGCAATGACAGTCATATGGCTCTCATAAACTCATAGAGTTGCCGGGATGAAAAAACTCTCGAGGCTCCAGCACCCCCTGCTTGGGATGGGACAACGCAGACACCCCAAGAAAACCTATGCCCTACATTAAAAACATCACCCACTGAACCACCTGTTTGAGGTTGCCCTGGGCTAGCATGATGGTGCCCTGAGAGGTTCCACATGCCCTAGACAGGTGGTCTAGGAACAGGAATGAAAGTAGAAAGGGAAAGGAAGGCCAGAGCTTAGTGCGTAGGCCACGGGAATGAATGCTAGAAAGCCAGACAGCAATCATGACTACCACTCAGGCTCTATTTCATAAATCCGTAGAGTGACCCAAGAGGGAAACTCATTCTACAGATAAGCCCAGTGCCCCTTCAGCTCCTTCCAGGTCAGGGGTGGATGGCAGGGGCACCGTCTCGGCGTATGGACCCCGGATCTTGGTATCCGGGCACTGGTGCCATCCCGGCGTCGCTGGGCAGAACCTACCCAGCAGTTCCTTGGTGCCCAGGCACCCCCTGCGGGTGAGAACAGGACAGCTCTGCAGGGTGGCACCCAATGAGTGCCGTCTTCTTGGCTGGATGGAATGGAACCTTGGAGACTTGCTACATGAAGCTCTACATTGCTGAATCTGGAGTCCCTATTTCTGCTCAGATTGTTCCAAAATGGATGTGTCACAAATTAGAGAAAGGGAGGAAGAACGGAAATAGACCGCCAGAAGGAAACACAAGGCATGCGATTGGTGCACGCTGGAGTTGTGCTCACAGCAGCCCTGGATAGGACCACCCAGGAGAGTGAGCAGAAAGCAGAACACGGTCAGCCTGGTGGTCCCCAAGCCTACCTCCTAGTCACAGTGCCCACAGTGCCACCATTAACCAGCAGGACACTGGATCCAGAGGACAGCAATGAGACATCCAAGCAGGAAGCTCACCGGACTTACTCTCCAGTCTTCCTTCTACCTTCCTCTATCCGCATGACCATCCCAGTTATGGAAGATTGAGACAGTCTTTGGGGCTGGGACAGGATTGGATGAGGACACCGCAGGAGGAAGGGAGGAAGGTCTTCGGCATTCCCTCTCTGTGACCTTCTCAGCCATGAGCATGTGCTCTGCTGTTCTGCACAGGGTAGCGCCCATGGGGTGGGATGGGCATGATGGGCAGGCGGGTGCCAGGTTTCCACACAGTTGGCCAGGTCTCCTGTTAGAACATAGGATATATCATGTCATTTCTCTGCTCAGAACCTCCCAGTGACTTCCTATTTATCTCAGATGTGTTAGGGGCTGCCATCAGTTCCTTCTCCCTCTGCATGCGTGGAGAGGTGGCGTCTCTTCCTGCACCCCTGTGAATCTGGGCTAGCCTGCAGCTGCTTTGGCTATTGGAGCCCTACAGAAGTGGAAGTGATGCTGTGCTTTAAGGGGACTGACTGTTTCAGCTTCCTGCCAGTTGGAACCCTTAGTGACCATATGAGAAGTCCAGGTTATTGTGCCAGAGAGAGAGGCCATGTGGAGAGCACTATGGTGCCAGACCTGTGAGTGAACAAGGCACCTTGAACATGAGGTCCATTGGAGCCTTCAGGTGCGTCCAGCTCCAGCCTCTATCTGGCTGCAACCACAGGAAGAACTC